ACAAAGAGTGATTCTGGACAAATGTATTTTTTCTTTTATGTACACTGAGAGCATTTCCACCAAGACAAATTCCTTGTGTGCGCAATCACACTTGACCAATAAAGAATTCTATTCTATTCTAGTCTATAAGAGTGTGGATCTGAACATTATTGCATCAAGGAACGATGGTAATCGTTTGGAGTTAACAATTATGCATAATTGCAAACATCTAGAACAGGGGTATCAAACTGGATTTCCTTGCGGGCTAGATCAGCATTGTAGTTTTCCATGGGCCAACAGGGGAGGAATGGGGAGGAGGAGATGGGATGGACGCCTCCTGCAGCACCCTGCTGGCCAAAACAGGGCATGGGGGGGGGAATGCGTGTGCCCTCCCTGCACACTCCATTTTTGGTCTCCACAGCCTCCTCCAGCACTTTGCTGGCCAAAAACGGGCCTCACGGGGGCCTCAGGCTTCTGTGCAGCCCATTTTTGGCCAGCAGGGGTGCTGCTGAAGACCGGGGAGGCCAAATACGGGCCACACTGGGGCCGCACATGCCCCCCCCCATAGCCTGTTTTGGCCAGCAGGGGCACTGTGGGCTGGTCCTTTGATATTTCCAGGCCAACCCTGGCGGCCAGATTTAAGCACCCCGTGGACCTGTAGTTTGACACCCCTGATCTAGAACGAGTAGATGAATTTGTGTATGTTCTTAGAATATTTGCTAAAGATGGGAAACTGGATGGGAAACTGGACAGACATATATTATGATATGCAAATGTTGGTACAAAGTTAATGGGTAGGAATGAATGTATGTTTTTTAAAAGTGCAATTAAGTTGGGGTATGCTTCTGCCCAGTTTGCTATATGTAAACAAGAAGTGATAAAGTCAATAATGAATGGATGCTTAAAGAATATAGATTGAATACAAGAGTAACCAACAGGAGAGAAGTTTATTGAGGGGTCTTGGAATTGGAACAGAGATATATGAAATACAAGTGAATGGATCAAGAGAAAGGTGGAAACCAAGAATATTAGGATTGGATGGAATCAATAAGATCCTCAAAAAGAAAGTGTGACAACAAGCTTAAAAAATAAAAGCCAGTGTGTAAAGTAATGTGTGAGTCTGGTGGGCATAAGAATAGTTTGCAAGAGCAAAAAGGTATGGAGATGTATATAGCCAATTATCTTGGTGTAATTTAGCTACTATATATTTCATTATCTCTTTGCTTATTATTTCTTATTCCATCACAATTATCAGTCTTTCATTAGGATTTCCAAAAACCCTAATTACTTTTTTGTATTTTTTTTCATTATATTCTTACTTATCTATTCCTATTACCTAAATTGAATAATATTTCATCTGGATCACAATTATTCAGAATGTTGTTAGTTGTTTCCCAAAATTCATCTCTTCCTGTGAATTTCTATTTTTATGTAGTTGCAACTGTAGAGACACCTGTTTATTCTTTCTGAGAAACATTTTAGCCTTTTTATTCATAATGAAATCAATAATTTTTCATGCATGTTATCAACTCCACAACATCTGACAACTTTCATATTGAAGCCTCCGATAATTCTAATTCAAGCCTTTTCTTTTCTCTTATTTTCATGTGGACATGTCACTTTTTGTAATTGTGGCTTTTATTTTTAGATTTTATTTATTAACCTTAGGGCTAGAATCTTAGGGATTTTTTTCTGATGGTTTTCCTTGGGGTTTGTTTGATTTGTTTTATTTTCAAAGAAAAACAGATGTGCAATATGAAATTTGGGAACTGCCTTTTTTATATCAAATGGTTTTTAAGTCTCCTTCAAAATCTTCTTGAAAGAAGACTGTGGAAGAAGGTGTGAGTTTCTTAGGGAGGAGACATTAGCCCCTCTTTCTAACAACTTTCTTGGTTTCTTGGTTGCTTCTTTTGCAGTGAAAAACAACCTAACACCCGCAGTTCCAGGTTAGAAATTGATACTGGACCATCTCTGGAGGAACCGCTCCCTGAACCCACCAGCAGGTAGGAGAAGTGTGGCAGGTAGACCTCATCCAAATTCTCAGTGCTGTGTCATGGTGACTGATACTGCTGTCCCAGAGAGGCTTGTCTTGGGACTGGATCTGTCTCTTAAGCAGATGTTCTGTCTCTGTCTCACTCATATTTTAGGCTGCGTGTCAATTCAGATGTGCGTGTCAATTCAGATGTGAGTCGCCAGCGTGGAGGAAGCAGCCCCATTCGCAAGTTCGCATCACCGTTCATGGATGGGGGCCGTCTGCCCTTTCCCATCCTACAAGCAACCCAGGCCAAGACCTTTCACCCTGTTGAGCGGTGAGAACGTTGAAGGGATGGCACGAATGTGCATTGGCATTGTGTTGGATTAGTTAGGTGGGAGGGACATTTAGAGGTGGCTCTTATATTACCTAGTCCTAGACAATGCCAAATAATATTTGGGAAGTATTTCATTTCTACTTTTGTAGAGTCCAAAAGAAGCACCTGCATTAGGTGGGACAGGAGAAAAATAGATAATATCTTTGTGGTTGGGTTATAATTAAATGGGAAGATTCTAATTTGGAATGCTCTCTTATAATAAATCCCAGGACTCCCATTTCAAATGCTTTGAAAATAAATAAACAAGTAAATAATACATACATACATATATGCATACATACATACATACCAACACACACACACACACGCACACACACACACCCCTACAAGCAAGCAGAGCATCCAATTTGGAGTGCTCCCTTATAATAAATAAATAAGAAAGTAAGCAAAACATGCATTATAAAGCAGAGGCCGGTCATACATTCTTCTTAATGCAGCGGAGTGTTTTTCATGATACAAAATTGGCTAGGAAAAAAAATGAGCTGAAGTGGCATTTCAAGATAACGTTGTCAAGGCAGACAGAATAAGATTGGCAGAGGAATGGGAGAGAACAAACGGGCATGAAGGGAGATGCCTGATGTTGATTACTGAAATACATGCTTTCCATAGGCTTTTCCAACAGGTACTTGATAGTTAGCAGTAACTGTTTCATAGAAATAACGATTCCCAGTTGCTGGGTTTGATAGGTTGTGTCCACCATGCTCTCTGCAGGGCATTTTTCTCTCTATCAAATCTCAACCAGCACTCGGAAAATGCTAAGATAATTGAGAGGGATGGATATCTGAAAAAAACAAACAAACAACCACTAGGGATAGAACATTAATGATACGCTTAAGGAGTTCATATGCAGTCTTATGTTTCATACATTCTTTGGTGCACTTTGTTTTTCCCTAGGCCAGACCGCTGGAATGAAGTTTCTCCACGGACCTGGGCTGGCAATAACTTTGAGAGACAGGGACCAGTGGAGAAACGGGTAGAGGTAGACCGGGTAAGAGCCTGTCCATTTTATTTGTCCCCTTTTTCTTCCCTCTGTTGCTCCCTTCACCGTGTTTTCTCTTTTTCCATTGATAGGACGTTGCCAGGAATATGGATTCTGTGTTCAAGGAACTTCTTGGGAAAACTACTCTGAAGCACACAGGGATTTGTGACCCTCCCAATCATTCTGAACCCCCAAAGAGCAATCCTTTGGCTAAGAAGGTTATCACCCCTGCCAAGCCAGCCACTTCAAACAGGGCGCTTCTGCGGGGCAAAGGGGTCTTCAAGTCTTTGGGAAATGGAGAGTGAGTCAAACTTGACATGGGGAAAAGCACCCCCAGTGTGACTTGCCCAATACTGTGGCTACCTTCCTCCTCCTCCTCCTCCTTCTCCTCCTCCTCCTCCTCCTCTTCCTGTTCCTTCCTGTTCCAGATACCAACTCAGGGCAGTTGTGTCTTGCTCTCTCCTGGTGGGGGTGGTGGGAAGTGGGGGGGTGATGTAAAATTATCAACATTTGTGTTCCAACTTCCAAGCCAAATGTTGAAGATGTATTTGCTGTTGGGTGTCTTCCTGGAGGTGCGTCTGAAGGATTTCATGTTGTGGATGTGACTGGGACTAAAACATACAGCTCCTATCAGCATGGTCCTGGACCCAACACCCAGACCAATTGTTCCTTTGTCACAAACAGTTTGCACTTGGATCGTCATGTGGAAGGGATACATGGGGGAGGGAATGTGCCAAGATTCCTGGAGTCTGTTCTTGGCCCTGGGAAGGGAATCATGTCTAGTGAGTTATGGTGCTAGAGGTTGAAAGGGAGGGCATTCTTTTGTACCTGTGTTATTCTTTTCCTGACGTGCTTCACACTAGCCCTCACCTCCTCTCCCTCCTTCCCTGATTCTCAACCCTGGCAATGTATCTCTTGTTGCTTTAAACATTTGTCTGAATTTTAGAACTCTTTCCACACATGCTACTTGGTACAGCCTCATTCAACCCTGCACGCATCACCCTCCTACATTGGGGCAATAAGTAAGGGGACATATTTGTGGTGGGGACCCATGTGCCAATTTTCCCCTCATCATCCAAGGTCCAGTTTGTCTGCCCTCTCTCCGCCACCTTCTACTTCACCATCATCTTTTGTCTTTACTGCTCAGTATTAATCAGGGCTGCATGTACTCTGTGCTTTAAAATGCTGTGCAAAGTCAAGCTGAATTCTGCATCCTGTGTAAAGTATGCAACTTAAACTTGTAGAGATTCTCTTCCATAATTTATGTTGTCAATCTTACAACTGGAAATCTGACTTATGGCACTCTTGTGGTTCCAAATTTTCAGCAGGAAATTAAAACCACACTTTTGAGCATTACTTTATAGACATAAGGGCTAGAAACCTGCTCTTTTATATATATAAAATTTTATATATATATATAATTTTTTTCACATTCTCAGGAAGCAGAATTCTGTGCCCAATGCCGCATCCTGTGAGTTTCTTGCAAATTACAGCATATGTACAGCCCTGGTATTAGCTTGTCATTAACAAAAATGACTGTACTGTGATCTTTCTATGCAGTCTGTTGATTTATGTTTCTTGCAATAAACTGGATTTATAAACTCTCCACAGAAAGCGCCTGCCAGTCAGGATTTTATAAAGAATAAACAAGACACTGAAGGATTTGCTTGGGTTTTATTGTCATAAAATGCAAAATATCTTTTTCAATTTTAGAAAATTGTCAGTGTTGGGTTCAAAGCAGAAATTGGCATTAAGGTTTAAGAAAGAGCAGCACTGATTGAGTAATGTGTCCACAAACTGATTACAAAGAAAGCTACCACAGTGATGACATGAAATGGGTTGGCTGAAACCGTAATGTACTGAGTGTCAGAGAGAGAGATTGAAATGTCAGATTTTAGTCTTGTACTCAAAGCATCTTTGAAATGGCTTCCTATCATCTTGTTCCAATTTAAGGCAGTTTTGGAATTTTGCATCCCAGGTATCCCTGGTGTGATAGCTCTAATCCCATTGGCTGCCTCAATGTACTGTGGAATGGCAACTTAAAGCATCCTGCAGCCAGGCTGCTGGAAGATTCTGGATACTGTAATTGTAGCACATCTAGAAGGTGCCAGAATAGGGAGGCTATGATGTTGAAATGACCCACAGGTCAAATGCTTGGCCATGGCAAGTTGGCTGCAGTGAGTTGGCCATGGCAAATTATCCTATTCTGCTGCTTGTATAGCCATGCTATACAAACTCTTACAGCAGTTCTGCACAGTTACTTATTTCACAAGAGGACTTGTGCAGAAGAACTTGCCACTATGTTGTGATACGTCTGTGTGTGTGTGTGTGAGAGAGAGAGAGAGAGAGAGAGAGAAGGAGAGAGACGAGGGGGAATTTAGAGCAGTGTTTCTCAATCTTTGCAACTTTAAGATGTGTGGAATTCTTGGAGTTGGAGTACAGCTGCCTTGCTGGGGAATTCTGGGAATTGAGATCTAGATATCTTAAGGCTGCCAAGGCTGAGGAACACTGATTTAGAGTACAGGGTTTTTTTGTTTTGTTTTTGTTTTTCCCACCTTAATCAAAAAGAGATGGAGGAATTTCTTGGGGGCAAAAAATTCCAGATAAAGATCCATCAGCCAGATTGTTTCTGCCTCCATCAGTTGATTGACTCAGGATTCCAACTGAGTTATTGTCCCATCTGAGTGGGTCAAGTGGAAGAAAAAAGAAGCCAGAATCCTGTCCTGATCCAAAGGAGAGGCCTCAGTCCTTTGCATGTTCCTTGCGCAGGGCCACTCGGACATCGCTGCAAACTTTTCCCACTGCTTCAAAGAGAGGGTCGCAGAAGGTACGGATGCACAAGGCATAGCAGCGCCCACAGCACTGCACCTCTATGAAGTAGCTCTTGATGCAAGGCATGGCCCCCCAGATGTGGCAGAAAGAAACACAGGCAAAGAGGAAGCCCCAGAGCAAGGCAAGGGGCAGGCCCAGCACCCCCGATAGAATCCGGTAGCACCAGTACTTGCTGACAGTAAAGGTGGTGTTGCTGGCCTTCCACACTCCATCAAAGCTGTGGATGCCTTCTGGCTCAGCAATTACATCTTCAAAGTCTACCTGGCAAGGTAGGAAGAGAGGTTGTGAGTTAGCCAAAGCTTTGTTTCATTCTGGAGAATTTGTGTGTGTATGTGTGTGTGTGTGTGTGTATGTGTGAGAGAGGGGGAGGGAGGGAGGGAGAGAGAGAGAGAGAGTCTGTGTGCGTGAGAGAGAAAGAGAGAAATTGTTAATGCTAGAAGTATTGAATTCTTGGTCTGGTCTAATCCCTTATCCAAGGTAACAATCCTCACACTTCCACATCCGAATCTCTTCCATCATGGGTAGCAATTTTTCTGTTGCTAGTTAACCACAATATATTTTGGACATCTTAAATGCTAAAATATTTTTTCTAGTTATAGAAAAATGACTATCCAAATGTTATTATGCAACAAAACCTAAAGGCTTTTAACCTCAAAACAGATCTAGTGGGTATGATTTGGAACAAAGATTTCCCTCATTGTGGATGCCTGGGGTGGGGCTGTTACTCTTTTCCCTGAATCTGAGTTCTTAAAATATATTCAGAATTTACTTCTGGTAAAAACCTGTGTTAAATTCGGTGCAAAAGGTTGCTGTGATTTGAGAAGAGCTAACCTCCAATTCATCAGCTTTTCTCTACTAAACTGAGCTTTCAAATAATTATTTTCCTTATGAGAAAAAGTCTGAGTTCTGCTATATGTGTTTACTTGCAGCCTGTAATTCTCGAATGGATGGAATACAACCTGGTATTCAAATTGCAATCATGCATTTAAGGTGGGGTGTAGATCACTATTAGGATCCTACATACTTTCACAACTAATAGACAAGGAAAAAATTACCAGGAAGAGAGCAGTTAATTTGCATAGCTTTCCTACATGCTACTCTCAGTCTTCATTTAGGCCAGGGAGGTCAAATCTGCAGTGTCACGGTGACGTCACATGATGTATCAGGACTTTTTCCCCCTTCACTAAACCAGGCGTGGGTGGGGCCAGCATATGATGCATCTGGCCTGTGGGCCGGGCCATGAGTTTGACATCCCTGATTTAGGCAACCCCAGCATGTCTTTCACTTCCAATCTTCAGAGCAACTTCCTTGCCTTTTGGAGCTGTCATTGTTTGAAATATGAATTTTGGAAGTGCCCCTTGTGGAGTAAAGAGCAGGTGAGTGACTGCCTCAGCAGGGGGTGAAATCTGATTTCCCAGGAGCACCGTGTCAAGAAAGTTTTCCAGAAAAGGCCTCATTGAAAGAATTGCAAAATCAGGGCAGGGGCAGTTTTGCTAGTGAGTTGACCTTCCACCAGATATTAGCAGGAAGGGGGATGGATTTATTATTTGTTTCAAGAACCAAAATATTTAATTATTTGGAAATTAAGCATGATCAAGGACAAATTGGAGTCACTGTGATGGTTTAAATTATGCATTGTTTTTAATTGTTGGCGGATATCCTGCTTTTATCGAGAAGGATAGTGCTAGAAGTAGTTTTGCATTACAAGCAAAAATCCAACTTAAAAGCTTCTAGGAACAGAGTTCAACTCTTCTCCCATTGTGCAAAGGATTAGAGCAGCATTTCCCAACCTCAGTAGCTTTAAGCTGTGTGGATTTCAACTCCCAGAATTCCCTTGGTCAGCATGGGGAGTTGAAATCCACACAGCTTTAAAGTTGCTGAGGTTGAGAAACACTGAATTAGAACACTGCTATAGTATATGATTAGTCTTAGGCTGATTATCCCTTCCCAAGTGTCATTTTTAAAATTTTATCTTTACTCCATAATCCTTTTCAGAACCTTGTTAGCTTTCTTGCAAAGTGAGCTAATCAGCAAAACATTGAATTAAAGAGAACTACATTCTTTTCCTTTGGCCTTGGTTAACTTTAGGAAGTAAAAACTGCCATTAGATACCCAGAAAAAAAGGAAGGTATGGGAAGAAGAGTTCCTATTTTCCCCCTCCTCTTTAGCGATTTATGTGGATAATGTGCTTGCAGAACATTAATCATTAAAAAGGTAATTGTCACATATATGCACAAGAATTCTGTGTTTAAGCTTTTATTTGCAGTGGGAGCTAATTTTACAGGCTCCTTAGAAAATTTCAAGGAAAGAATGGTCTAAAAGGAAACCAGCCTGTTTGAACCGGATTGGTATTTTGAGAGCCTGTTTTGGTCCACCTCACAAAATGGCTGCCACAGGGCTCTTGCTTATTCACAAAATGGTGATTTTGTTTGTGTGAAATATAATAATTCTTGTTCACAAGAAACAAGGATGTTGGGATTATTATGCATCTTCCTCTAGATCCCCATGAACTTCCCATTGTCACTCGTAGTGGGTTGAGAGTTATTTCTTTCTTTCTTTGCTGGGGAGGAGACAAAAACAGTAAATTATAGGGACCAGCTGTTTCTATTTCTAAAAATGCCTATATATTCCATCATAGAGATGGAATATTGACTGGCTTATTTTTGCAGCATTGCATCAGATGTTTATGCCCAATGGAGTGTCTTTGAAATCCTTCGTTTGAAGACCTGAGACTGTAGTCTAATGAAAGAGATTGCTTACACCAGATTTTCTCAACCTTGGTGACTTAAGATGTGTGGATTTCAACTCCCAAAATTCAGCATGTGGCTGGCTGGCAAATTCTGGGAATTGAAGTCTGCATACCTTAAAATTGCCAAGATTGAGAACAGCTGCCTTACACCAAGACTAGGATAGAACAAGTACTCTGGTGGCTGGAGATAATAAAGTCATAGCCCAGCTTTTCTAAAAGAAGCTACTTTGAAGATTAATTTGGGATACATCACATTCTCTTGGCCTAATGAGCAACACAGAAATTATAGCGTAAACTTTAACTGTACAAAGATACGAATCTAGTTCACTTTTTAGTATAATGGCAAAGTAAATGTATTCCCTAAAAAGGGGAAGGGGTCCAAAGACCCAGTTTCTCCTTAAAATTAATTACAGTAATTATGTCACTGGAGAGTGGAATGGTGACCCTCAGTTCCACTTCCCCATATCCTGCTAAACATAGTGACGAGAGAGAAGGCCATTCCCTCTCCTCCATTCTTGCTTCTCAACGGCATTGACTGCTACCAATTGCTAAAAGTCCAGCTTCTATGATGCTTGGAAGAAATGCTGAGGAAAGTGCAGTTGAGTATGAATTTCTAAAAAAAGTTGCCCTTCTTGTAATTTTATTCATTGTTTTTTTTAAATTATTTTAGATATATGTTTATTAATAATAGAGCCTTTTATTAAGGATTGCAAGAAAAAATGTTGTTTTACTCAGCTGCTAACATATAAATTGGATGTTCCTGTTTCCGCAAGACTGCCTTTGTCATGTGACACTAGAGGGGGCTATTGTGCTGTTTTGTTTCTGGGCTGCCTCCAAGCATCCAGGTTGGGTGAAAAGTGCTGGACATTGGAATTGATCTGAACCACTCCCGGCTCTTCAGACATTCTTATGAGAGCCCCAGAAGTGCATGGTGCCAGCTACACCTTTTTGCCTAGACATCTCGCCCTCTTTTCTCCCTCTGTTCAATTACAAACACTATCTTTTCTACTTTCTCTTTCCCAGTTTTTCTAACCTTTCCAAAATCAGTCATTGCCTGGCAAGCAAGAGGCGGCCTTATTTGTGACTTAGGTTTTGGGAAAGCGATTCCATTAAAAAAACACACACACAAAGGAGTCTGAAACCCACCTAGGAATACAATGTGCAAAATTCTAAAACAATGAATTAAAATCGTAAAACTAAACCACAAGCTAGCTTTTAAAAATAATACATCCCTTGGGAAGCAACCATTCTTTTTGGAGGTGGGGGGAGGGGAGAGAGAGCAAAAGCATAGATTTATGCAGTACATTGTGTGAAGAATAAAATTCTTAGCTTGGAGGAGTAGAAGTACCCTTCTGTTTATCTCATCTATATCTAGAGTGATATATGCAACAACTCTTTGCAGGAACATTATTTCTATATACCATGCGTTCGCCTTATGTAGTTCATACTGTTGTAGTAGAAGGGTAGGGAAGATGACTGGAGAAAGTGCACAGGAAGTCCTGTTACCTAGGCAAAAGGAGCCGAAGTATTTATTCTGTTATTCTCTGTTAAATCCAGACCCACAAGGTAACATTCAGGGAGTGGCTCAGGCAGACCTGTCTCTGATTCAATGAAGTACAAGGAGGAAGAGGAAGCATAGCACAATCAAGCTTGCCAGATTCTATCACTATACCCAGGCTCAACAAAAATACAGAGCATTAGCCTTCCTGTGGAATTGATTGATTTCCTGATCTGACCTATCTAATGAGGCCGACTCCTGGCTGCTTCTTTTCAATCTGAAGGAAAGTTTGCTAAAAGAATTGCTCTATGTTGCTGCCACAACTTTTTATCCCATGCCCTGAGAGATGTGCTCACCTTGACCACCTCTTGGTTGATCTGCTTGGGGTCTCTTTCCACCAAATCAATCTCTTTGGTGAGAGGGTCCCGGGAGTCGATCTTCTCCAGAATTACATCTACTACTTCTTGTTCTTCTTGTTGGGCCATAGCTCTGGGACTGTTTCCTATTCAGGATCTGTCTGTCTTTCTCTCTATAAAGCAGCCACCAGTTGTCTCTGACTGTCAGGGAAGAATGGCCTCTCCCCTGTTGCTGCTCCCCTCCCTTTTCCCTCTTGATAACTCTTGACAGAGTTCACAGATAGAAATAGCCCCCATTGGAGCCAGAATACACCTCCCTTTCAATCAAGACTCAGTTGTTTTTTAGCTAGTCTGAATAATTAGCAGTCTAGGTAGTCCTTTCCCTTTTATTTGTTTGAAAAAAATAAACCCACTAAATATAATTATAGAACTTTGTAGATAAATCAGCTTTTTGACATGAAATTTAAATGTATTGGTTACCTGTCTCTCAGTCTGGATTATGTACATCTCATTAAAAATAATAACCAGTTGGAAGAAAATAATTAGGTTGTTTGAAAGGATTTTCAGAGAGATGAAATTGAGAATATAAATGCATTTTTTCAAAGACACAAATTTATTTGTGTTGCAGTGCTATTGTCACTACTCAAATGGGTTTCTGAAGCCCTGCACAAATCTGCAACAAACAAAATTCAGTGACTTGAGATAATGGCAAACTAAGCATAGGCACCAGGGTTCGGCAATATATATCTTATTAATGTATACCATGTTATGACTTTATTTCCAAAATAGGCTCTTGTTTTACACCAGCCCTAGGGCAGATTCTGTTTGGAGGTCAAAATGACTTTTGTTGACTTGGCCAGCCAAAGATAACAATAGCTGAAGATGGGATATCTCTATCTAGAAGCTCAGTTTAAATATGTTTCATTTCTACAGGCTGAAAATAAATAGCAAAAGCATTTGGTCTTAGAAAATTATCTGGGTGTTGTAATGGGGGGAAAGGTACTCTGGGGGGGGGTCCTTGGTGCTCTCTAATCATGGTGGGGGTCTGCAGGGGTTTCATTACCCATACTAGGTAACACCATCAGTGTTAATCCCTCATTTCAATCCTGAGCTACAAATACTCTCCTTCATTAGTAAAAAGGACCCTCTGAGTTCAGTGATACCTTCATAAACTGCTTCAGTTCAAATTGAAGAGACATTGCTTAGCTATTACTTACTTGCAAGTAAGTTTTAAAAAAGGAAGGATACGCAGAAGTTTATTCAACCAATTACTGCTATAAGATTTTCATCAGGATTGTACTCATAGCCCATAAGAAAGTGTAGCATCCAGTTGAGGGAGGCTTAAATTTCAATCAAACCTCACAAAATTGGGTGAATCGGATGGGGTAAATTATATAATCCCTTCCTCCTCCAGTCATTAATTGCTTACACAACTTGTTTAGACAGGTCTGGTAAATACCTTGTGGCTGCACTGATACAACATACCAAGTTTGGTTAATGTTAACATTGATTAATATAGGTTTCTGTTTCAGTGGATTGCGTGAATCCAACCAATATGGTTACTTTATATACTTTATAGTATAGGATGCAAACTAAGAAAAGGGTGACCAGTTGAAATAAGTTGTTGAAGGCAGCCTGTATAGTTGTAGGCAGAACCCCTCCCCTCCCCTGAAAAGCAATATAGAATAGTGTGCACTGTGCAAAGAGTTGAACGACAGCCTTATTTTGGCCACAAGCATTCCTGCTGGATGGTCATTCACAAATCATCCCTGTTAGTAGAAGCATTAACAATATGCACCCTCTGGTGCTAATTAGATAGCTTTGTTGTTATAGAAACAGCTAGTACAAATCATGATATAATTATCTTTGTGTATGAGCTTAGCTCAGCCATCAATGAATGCTACAGTATATTTGAAGCAAAAGCTAGATTTTTGAAGAAACTCATAAAAGGCAAAGTTTTAAATACATCTTGGAGAGGGAGAGAACAGAAGAGAGAGGTTAGAGGAAGGAACTCTCAAGCAGACTAATTTAACTTAGAATAGGTACAGTGAGAAACAAACACAACAGATAATTGTCAAAACTTTCCCCCCCCACCTAGCCCTGCCATTTGGTTAAAAAAATCTCTTAGGTGTGAAGAGATGATGCAGGCTGTAACACCCACAAACAGCAGGTTTTTACCCAGCACTAAACAAAGCAATGGCACTTTAAATAAGTACAGCTGTAACTCACATCCCTATGTACTGTAGTTAAGTTTAGCAGCCACTGATCATTTCTAAAGAGGGCACAGGACTCTTCTGCTAGAGTGGCAAGAGAAAAATCACAGGGAAGGTGTCCCCCGTGTGCAGCTGACTCTGGCATCAGCACCACTATGGCCTCCTGCCAGCCCAGTGCCATGCCTGAGAAAGAGAAATATGTGCCTGTAACATTACCCCTGCTGCATGAGTGCACGCAGCTACTTTACTGCCAGCCAGAGCTTTACGAGGCACTGTCATGATGGGCACCAGCAGCTGTAGGCTGTACTATCCCTAGGGCTGTGTGCAGAAGAAATGGGGCATGTTAAAGTGTGGAGATGTATGTGTATGTGTGTGCCTGATCGGGTGGTATTAGGCAGAGAACAGAGGCAGTCCCTAAATCTAAGGCACATGTAAATGGGCAAGTACCAGCCTGCATTTTGTATAAATAATTCTGCTGCCATGAGCTTCTATTTCAGCCCCAGCCCTGTCACTGCTGCCAAGGAGTGAGTCTGCGCAGGGCGGCCAAAAGGCCATAGATGGGGGGAAGATGGGTGAGTGGGGAGAGCTGAAGTGCCTCAGCAGTTGTAAGTGGTGGCAGGCAACCAGGCATCCAAATTTTGATCATGTGATTGTGGGTGTGGGGGCACTTCAATAGTCATAACTTCAAGGACCTGTTGTAACTCACTTTTTTCAGCGCTATCGTAACATCAAGCGGTAGCTGAATGAATGCTCATAAATCGAGGACTACCTGTAAAGTTTAATTCTTGGCAGCTGAATTGCAGCACGATTTTAGGGCAAAAATAGTTTCTTCTTCCTCCCATTGTTGTCAGCCTATGGAATAACCAGCCTTAACTGTATTACTTAATGTGTGATGGGGTGGTCTTGGTGTGGAGAAAAAGGGTGCCTGGTCTGAGGGATTTAGCCTTAATGATAGGTTGCTGATGTGACCTGCGTTGTGTTGCTGAGCTGTATGTCAACCTGGGTTATCTTAGAAGTTCAGAAAACCTATGTCCCAATTGCTTGGCAGGCAAATTGGGGTGTGTGGAGGTGGGGTTCAGACTGAAGCAAGAATTGATCATATGGTACATCAGGAAATCTAGCTCCATCCTTCCTAATTTGTCACCCAGGTTATTGTTGGGTATACATTTGATAGAACTGCATTCAGAAATAACTGAGTGACAGGTCACAGAAACAGCACAGGGGCTTCCAGGAGCACCAAGGATTGCCTCATCCAGACCTCACCCTTTCACTGCACCTGTGATCTGTCATTTAAGCCACAACAGGAAATTGGCAGAATTCTGGTCCACTTCACCCCCTATCTCAAATACTGTAGGTAGTTGTTGTATGTAAAGGAATGCCAGCTAACAACATGCAGCTGCAGCCAGCAGTTTCTGGAAGTATTCTGGTGAACAGTAGAAATGCTGCTGGCCTAGGGTGTCCCACAGGTAATAAAAACAGTAGCGATGGTGGTCACTTATTGACCAGAATAGGGACTGGCAGCTCTGTTGCTAAGCGGTGTAGTTGTTAAACATGATGTTATGCAACCACACTAATTTAATTGGTCCTGTCAATTCTGGCTGCAGTTGTTAAGTGAATCATCATGGGTCATTAAGTGCCATGTTATACGACTGTGGCTTGCAGCTTCCTGCTGGTTTTTCCATTGACTTTGTTGGAATCCAGCTGTGAAGGTTTCAGATGGTGCTCCCATAACTGCAGAATGCTCTGACTGCTGTAAAAGCGAGCTGGTCTCCAAGCATCTGAATCATGATCACCTGGCCATGGAGATACTACAATGGCTAGTCATAAGTCTCGATTTTCAGCCACTGAATGAGTAATTGGCCATTGAATGAGTATTTGGTAAGTGAGGGCTACTTGAAGAAAGCATTCACCTTGCACAGCTGGCAAAACCCAACTCTTTCCCAGTACATTGACCTCCAGGAAGAGAGTGCTAATTCTGTGTTTTAAACTTAGACCTATTGCTCTTTTGAAAGATCACGAAGTATATATTGTATACAAACAGGTCGAACACTGTTCCAGAAGAACGCAAGGCTCATGTCCATCTGGAAAGCACATAATGCCTGAAAGGTCTTGTCAGATGTCCCACTGGAACTGAGCACCTGATCTCTCCAGTAGCCCAAGCCAAATGGCCATGAAAGGCAAAGCCCGGTGCCCAGAACTGATAGGCTGTTCCCCCAATAACCAAAGGAGAAAAGGAAAAACATTACTCTGAACCAAAACAATGAAAGGGGAATATAAGCTGCCCCTGATGTAGGTGAATGTCTTTGAGCCGTGGAATATGAGTGTTTGCCACAAGACAAAGTAGACAGAAAAGAAACTAAGCAATAGTTTATTGTTGTTCAATCTGCAGGGGTGGGGATTTAACATAATATTAATTCTAGTTATTTGGGGGAGGGGGGGCAGGACTGGAGTGAATAATCTCTCCATGACAATTTGTTCTGTCTGGGATCTCCTGGATTTGGAAGCATTTCCTTTGCAAACCCCACTCCTACAATATGTCTCATTAGTGAAACTTACCCCACCTGATGGCCTCCAGAAGTGGTGGAAGGACAACTGGTAAGAGGACATTAGATTCAGGATGGCCTAGTTGGGCCATTGCCTATCTGCTATCCTGATCTTTTCCTAATATGGATATATATGACATGGATTGGAGAGTCACTGAGAGATAAGAATTGAGGATTAGATACAGGTCAAATCTTGGGAGAATTTACAAAGAATCTTCTGGACACTTTGAGAAATGGTGGATCTTGGAGCACAGAAGGCTTTGGCTGGACACAAAATGGCTGCCATTGTTGGCATAGTACCGTAGCACAAAATACCATCTTATCAGTGAGCAAACTGGGAAACTTATTTCCTAATCACCTTCCCTAGCTTTGCAAAATATTGTTTACCATACC